AGAAGGCAGGAAGGCCAACAGTAGGGGGAGCCAGAGCGAATGATGAGCAGAGCCAAGTAATTCTGGCTCTGTGCCTGTTCTTCTCCTTGATGAGTTCTAAGAGGGCGACCCTGAGAGTAAGGAGGGGGAAGCTGACAGCTAGGGTCACCCCCTGGATTAGCTGTAAGTGGGAAGGCAAGCAGGTAGGGGCCAACTGAGGTTGGTGGAGTAGCTGCCAGTTCACTACTATGGTACAGTCTCCACTGCAGGGAGCCCAAAGCATTCATCCAATTCCATCCAATTCCACCCAATTTTATTGTTGTTAGCCGCTCTGAGTCCAGCTTCAGCTGGGGAGGGCAGGATATAAATAAAATTTTATTATTATTATTTATTATTATTGCGTGGCGAGTTCCCGCCTCCCCCCAAGAAATGAAGACACAGGACACAAGAATTCGAGTTAATGTGTCAAATTAGGCCACAACTTTATTGATTACAGGATTTGAGCGATATTAGCCTCAGGCATTGGTCCTAAAAACTAACCGGCTTCAGCCTGCATGGTTGAAGGCCGGTGAGGGTTAACCACCAGTAGGAGGAGTCCTGCTGAGGCACGTCAACTAGGACCTCCCCCCGGGGTCACCGCGTGGGGGTGTGCCGTGGGCTTAGGACAAGGCCACGCCCCCCGGAATCCTTTACCAGACTACCCTTTTGTTCGGGGGAAGGTGATGGCGCTCCTTCCCCCCCTTCATCTGCATAACAATAGAACGGTACCCCCACTAATGCCTAACCACCAATACCGTGGAGTTGTGATGGTTTGCTACGAGGTAGGCGAAAACCAATTGGATGGTACCAAACTGCCAGTTGGAAAAATTCCTACCAGGCCCCTTGACGGCGACCAACCGAAGCCCATAGCAACGTCAAAGAACCTAGCCTGAAGGGTGGGAGGGGAGGGAAAACCAGGTCAGCTGCGGCGCGGGAAAGAGGGAGACCCTCGGCCGCGCCAGACCTAAGTAGGCGAGGCCACGCCCCCCGAGCCAGCCGATTGGCTGGCTCGGGGTATGACACGTCCGAGGATTCCCTGTTATCGTGTGGGCTGGAGTCAGCCCCCGCGATTGTGGGGAGGGGCGTGAAGCCCGCAACCCCACCTCCTCCCTATCTCGGAAGTGGCCTTATTCCCCCCCATAGAGAAAATATACGAAGGTTAATATTAAATATCCAATATCCAATATCTTTTAATCAAAGATAGAAGAAACTAATCTAAATAAAAATGCAAACACAAAGAAGGCCAGGGAACAGGGGAAAATAAAAAGGAGAGCTTCTGATCCTTCTTCTGTCAGCTATATAGAGAAAATAGATCAAAGCATCCACTTCAAGATAACACCCAACATTTCACTTTCTACAAACCAATATATTCTTCAATCCTCAAACCCAGATATCATAAGTTCATTTTCTTCTTCATGCAAAAAGCCTATAAGGGGTTTCCAATCTTTAGCAGATATCAACAATGGTTTTTCTCTGATTAAACACGTCAACTTTGCCATCTCTGCTAAGTCAAAAAATTGTAACTACCATTCCTCCAAGGTAGGAAATGACGACTCTTTCCATCTTTGTGCATATAAAAGTCTCGCCACTGTGATTAGGTATTGAAATAATGTTCCATAGTCAGTTTCTAATTGTATATCCAACTGTATTTCCTAGCAGGAAAATTTCTGCTTTCAGTTGAATGGTCACATTTAAAATCTTCTGCATCAATGTTTGTATTTGTATCTGACATTTCTTAGCTTTTTCCACCAAGCATGATAAAATGTCCCTTTATATTTTTCACACATCCAGCAAACATTTGGAACACCTTTATACATTCTGAATAATTTCCAATAAGGTGTCTATGATCATAATTGGAAGCCATTCTGATTAAAAATTGGTTAGAGATTGGTGCTGATAACACAAAGGTCGCAGGTTCGATTCCCTTACAGGGCCCCCTATAAAATATTTGAGGAATACATGAAAAAAGTCAGTGCTGGAGCTTAAAAATGAATATGCAAAAGTTTAAAAGGCGCAAAGAGATAGGATAATATTATACTAAGGATGGAATAACAAAGTGAGTAACTCAACAATAACAAAAATAATAGTAGGCAAAGAAGATCGCACATGAGTGGAGGGAAGTACTGGGCTGTGGGGGAGGGAAGTGAAGGGATTACCGTATTTTTCGCTCTATAAGATGCACCAGACCACAAGACGCACCTAGTTTTTGGAGGAGGAAAACAAGACAAAAAATATTCTGAATCTTAGAAGCCAGAACAGCCAGAGGGATTGCTGCGCAGTGAAAGCAGCAATCCCTCTGGCTGTTCTGGCTTCTGTGATAGCTGCGCAGCCTGCATTCGCTCCATAAGACGCACACAAATTTCCCCTTACTTTTTAGGGGGGGAAAAGTGAGTCTTATGGAGCAAAAAATACGGTAATTGAAATTGTTAAAGATTGGTATAGGATTTAAAAGATTTAAATTTCCGTAAAGATTCTATAAGGAAAGCAAAAAAGGAAAGCAAAAAGAAATATCAGGTAAAGGTGTCAGAGAGGAGATCAGTGTAAATGAAAACATGAGACTTATGGTTTTGCTATATATGTTTTTATTTTGGAGTTGTCCTTTGTAAATACTGTAATGTATATTATGTGAATAAAATAATAAAGATGGGGGGAAATATTTGAGGGGGTTGCCCCCCCCCCCCAGTTGTTGGGTATTGCAATTCAAATGATGTGTGAGCATTGTGTCATGTGATTGATCATGCGGGGCGGAGCTTACCAGCCCGCCCGCCCCCCAATATTTTATTCAAGTTGGCACCCCTGATGCCAGGTGTCTGAGGGAGATGCTATGGGCAATTTCAGTAATGACTCCCCGTTTGCGGAATGCTCTCCCCAGTGTTAGGCACCAGGTTAAGACACTTTTGCTTACCTTTGGGCTGCTAAATTACATTGTACCGAAATATGACTTCTGGCCTATTTTATGGTGTTGATCTAAGATCCATTGTTTTTATGGTTATTGATGGGTGAGTGTGTTGGGGGTATTTTGTTCCATTGTTTTATATACAGTGGTACCTCGGGTTAAGTACTTAATTCGATCTGGAGGTCTGTTCTTAACCTGAAACTGTTCTTAACCTGAAGCACCACTTTAGCTATTGGGGCCTCCTGCTGCCACTGCGCCACTGGAGCACGATTTCTGTTCTCATCCTGAAGCAAAGTTCTTAACCTGAAGCACGATTTCTGGGTTAGCGGAGTCTGTAACTTGGAAGCGTATGTAACCCGAGGTACCACTGTACTGTCTTAAACTGGAGAGTAAGGGGAGGTAGCTAACATTCAAATGAGGCTCCAATTAGTTGCCTTGCATATTTTTGGTTGCAGATAAGACTGATGGGAAGGACGTACATACAGTAGACCCTCGGCTTACGTTACCCTCGGGTAAAGTAAACTTCAGGTTGCAAAAGTGGCAAACTCAGAAGTATTCTGCGAATGCAGAAGTGACACCTCCAGTTGCAGAAACTCCAGGATACGGCCAGAACTCTGGAATGGATCCTGTCTGCAACCGGAGGTACCACTGTATTACGCTTGGTTCCCCCTTTTTGGGGGGGCGGGTGGAAATCCATCTGTTAAAATCCATCCATTCTTATGAGTAAGACACATGTTTTTTGTTTACCAATTAGCCTGTTGGACAGTTCTGGAGAATAGCAATCAAGACCTAATAAAGGAATTGCCCTAATGTGGATTTTGGATTTTAGCTAGCTCTCCAGTTCCTTTTCTTCTTCAAAGCAGGTATCTCGCCAAAGCCTACATAGTTACTTAACGTTATAATGAGAGTGCAGCAATTTGGAATTATTAGGTGAGATAAGCAGAAGCAGAACGGCCATTTTCAAAGTCTTTGCCTCAAAGGTCAGATCCGTAGCACGGAGCTTTAATTGGTTCTGATGAGATCAGCTGCCAAGACCAAAAAGGTCTTAATAATCACATGAATTTGATTTGAGTGACATAACATAGGGTTTTTCCTTTTTAAAAAATGAATTATAGATTGATCTCTTTCAAATGAAAGCACATTTTAGGTTCTGCATTTTTATTTTTATTTAGCAAATGGCACTGCAGGCGCCGTCAGAACGGCTCATGCAAAGCTTGAAATGATTCTGCCCTTGATTCTGTCCACCATTTAAGATTGCTTGGCTTTCCACATTTATAAGAGGTACAGCGGATTAGAACACAAGGCAGGGCCTTCTTTGTAGCTGCCCCTTCTGATCTTGTATGTTTCAGCTTCTGTTTGTTGATCTTTATTCATTGGCTGCTTAATTGAATCATGGCGAAGGACCATGTCCCAGGACCTTGATACTCTACTGAAGTGTTGTTGGTGGTGTTGTTGTTTTTAAGAAATCTACACAAACACCTGCATTTAAATATGGGTTTGCAATTTCTTTTTGAGCAAAATGTGCATTTCTAAATGTCCACCCTCCATGCAAGTACACATGTCTAAACATGCATAGGGACGCGGGTGGCGCTGTGGGTTAAACCACAGAGCCTAGGACTTGCCGATCAGAAGGTTGGCGGTTCAAATCCCCGCGACGGGGTGAGCTCCCGTTGCTCGGTCCCTGCTCCTGCCAACCTAGCAGTTCGAAAGCACGTCAAAGTGCAAGTAGATAAATAGGTACCACTCCGGCGGGAAGGTAAACGGTGTTTCCGTGCGCTGCTCTGGTTCGCCAGAAGCGGCTTAGTCATGCTTGCCACATGACCCGGAAGCTGTACGCCGGCTCCCTCGGCCAATAAAGCGAGATGAGTGCCACAACCCCAGAGTTGGTCACAACTGGACCCAATGATCAGGGGACCCTTTACCTTTACTTTGCAATTTCTTTTTGAGCAAAATGTGCATTTCTAAATGTCCACCCTCCATCCAAGTACAGATGTCTAAACATGCATTTTCATATGGATTTTGCTTTGCTTTTGAGCTAAGACCTCCCTTCTCAATTTGGAGAAGGGTGAAACCTGGAGCTAAGTGCCCTCCTGTGGCCCAATGGGTCAGTGCGTCTGGCTATTAACCAAAAGGTTGGAGTTTCAAGCCCACCAAGGATGACTATGGGTGGGATTCCTGCATTTCGGGGGGTTGGACTAAATGACCCTCAGGATCCCCTCCAACTCTGCAATTCTTTGATTATATGGTAAGAATAACTTTGTCCTGATCTGTGCATTAGCCCAGGAGGTGCAGATCAGGTGTGTTATTTTTTGAAACTAGCGAAGAATAAATTCCTCAAGCATTCCTAGTCCCCAGCTGTTAAAATGGTCCCCTTGATCAGTCCCAGGAAGTCTGTTTTGAATGCCAAGATTTCAAACCCTAGAATGTGAGAAAGAATACAACACAGGAGAGTGCTTCTGAGCATGCCCAGAATCCCTGGCTCTCTCTCGCCACTAAACTGCATCCCATCTGAGGAATGTAGAAGCGCACATTTGCGACTTGTGCACCGATTAAAGAATGGCCCATATCTTTGCCGGGACTGACAGCTGCTAATTACACAGCAGGCAGGCTGAGCAATGCAAAATCATCCCAGGCAATTTGAACCTGGCCTGTGGGAACCTCAATTAAGATACAGTTTGATTAAGCTTAACTGCTCTACATTGAGCTGCCCTTGAAAAGCATTTATAGGCTACAATCAATTCAGAATGCAGTGACCAGGTTGTTAAGCAGAATGTGCTCCCCTCTAGTGCTGAAAGAACTCCACCAGCTTTCAGTTTGCAAAAAATACAACTCAGCTGCTGCCATTTACTCCTCCTCCTCCTCCTCCTCCTCCTTCTTCTTCTTCTTCTTCTTCCTATTATTATTACAACCTACATCTCAAACTTCTGAGGGCTAAAAAACTACCCTTTCTGCTGATCTTCATGCCCAAGACAGTCTGTAGGGAAGGAGGCAACCTTTAAGATACAGTGGTACCTCAGGTTACATATGCTTCAGGTTACATACGCTTCAGGTTACACACTCCGCTAACCCAGAAATACTGCTTCAGGTTAAGAACTTTGCTTCAGGATAAGAACAGAAATCGGGCTCTGGCAGCGCGGCAGCAGAAGGAGGCCCCATTAGCTAAAGTGGTGCTTCAGGTTAAGAACAGTTTCAGGTTAAGAACAGAGCTCCGGAACGAATTAAGTACTTAACCCGAGGTACCGCTGTATCTGAGATGTAAGAGAATGCCTTTTCATCTTGGATTCGGCCCAGAAATGAACTGGCAACTAAAGATCTCAACCTATGCCTTTCTAAACCCATTTAATCCTAAAATATGCATTTGTTAAGCCCTTAAAATATGATTCCTGATCTGAGGATTCTATCGCAAGCGGAGAACTATGTTGCAAAATTTGAAAAAGCATGAAACTGGAATGTTTCCCCTCAAGATGAGCTTGCCCTCAACCTACCTACCTGTCTTCTTCTTTAGTTACAACCGATCCAGGGGGTTTCTCCTGTCCATCACCTTTCTCCTCCTTTATCTCAGTGTTCCCATTGTAGAACTCAGTAGGGAGAAGAATGACGACAAAACTAGAATTAGTTGGCTCTGCCTATCATTGGCCCTGGCGCCACCTAGTGTTAGCCTCCTGCCTTACGCAGCCCCACTCCCAATGAACACCAACCATCTCCACTGCAAGGACGCTATTGCCTTTCCCTTCCCTCTCTGAATGGCTCCTCCAGAGACGTCATGTCTTGGCAGGTATGCAAGTAGTAGGGCCTGTGAAAACCCACCTCCGTTTGAACTGCCTTCCCTTATTAAAGCTGCACTCTTTGAGCTGAGAAGCTTCGATCCGGTCGTGATCCTCTTGTAAAGTCCTCAAATAAAAGAGGTAGTTAAGTTGAGCCGATCTAATGTTCATGACGACCTTGGGGAACTGGAATCGGCGCATGTCCTTTTCTCGCTCCGGAAAGTCAAACTGTTCTCCACGGGACTTTAATCACAAGGGTCTTTTGTCTAATAGGCAGTGATATGTGCCGTTTAAACAATTCTGGGTTTAAAGCACCATTCGTTCCGAGCACTGAGTTTGAAACAAACCGAAAGATGAACTTTTGTCTTTCTTTCGCGAGACACAAAGGGAAGGAAGATCTGGATTGCTGCCTGGCAATCTCAAAGCATGTAGTGCTCCAGGATATTTTAAATGGTACTATATTCACGAGAGAGCTGTTGTGATGCAGAATGAGCCTGAGCTGCTGAGGCTCCCGCTATTATATATTTACTCTCATGGGGAGAAAAGCAGCTGGGGGTGATTTTTGAGTAGGAAAGCAGCCTGAGAGGAAGGAACGATGCAGGCCATTCTCTCCCCATTCCCACCACTCAGGAGTGTAGTCTTGTGACGACACCACCCCAAAAAACCTCCATTTAAAGCAGGCATAGGCAAACTCGGCCCTCCAGATGTTTTAGGACTACAACTCCCATCATCGCTGACCACTGGTCCTTTTAGCTAGGGATGATGGGAGTTGTAGTCCCAAAACATCTGGAGGGCCAAGTTTGCTTATGCCTGATTTAAAGCAATGACATCCCACTTTAAGCTTCACCCCAAGGAATCCTAGGTAGTTGGTTAAGGATGCTGAGAGTTGTTCGGAGAGACCCCTGTTCCCCTCACAGAGCTACAATTCTCAGAATAAATTGACAATCAATCTCTTTTCCAAGTGGGAATTGGCGGTCTGTGAGGGGGGGATTAGGGGCTTTCCCAACAACTCTCATTTCCCAGGATTCCTTGGGCGGGAGTCATGACTGTTCTAGGATAATGCTCTAAATCAGCGGTTCTCAACCTGTGGGTCCCCAGATGTGGTTGGACTACAACTCCCATCAGCCCTGAGCTCTGGCCTTGCTAGCTAGGGGTGATGGGAGTTGTAGTTCAACCATATCTGGGGACCCACAGGTTGAGAAAGGCTGCTCTAAATGCATTGTGCAGGTGGGGCCCCGTGTTTCATCAGCAACGATTTCGTCACACGTTTAGGATGCTTCCCCTCAGAACCTGACCCAGTTTAACAGCCAGCCATTTTCTCGCCGGCAGCTTCTGCTTCGGCGACGTCTGACCTGCGCTCACAACCCGCCAGTTCCAGCCGCTGGTTCCCCTGGCAAGATCTGTCACGTCTCTTTGAGGAGAACGCAGGGCTGCTCCCTCAGACGTTTCCCGCCATGACAGGAACATTCTAGACCCTGTCAGAGGGGATTGTTTTCTTTTTATGTGGGTCAGCTCCTGAAGACAAGGTGTCGCTTAAACCACGGCAAGCGCATGACTAAGCAGCCTCCGTATTGGAAACAGTTTGTGCTTAACTTATAAAGAAAGAAATATGCCAGCACTGACATCAGCCAGAAAGACTCACTCTCCATGCTGGAAGTCTTGGTCACATTGACATCACACATTTTTTAATTTTTATTTTAAATCGCTCTTTGTTGTTATTTAGTCATATCTGACTCTTCGTGACCCCATGGACCAGAGCATGCCAGGCACTCCTGTCTTCCACTGCCTCCTGCAGTTTGGTAAGACTCATATTAGTAGCTTCGAGAACACTGTCCAACCATCTCGTCCTCTGTCGTCCCCTTCTCCTTGTGCCCTCAATCTTTCCCAACATCAGGGTCTTTTCCAGGGAGTCTTCTCTTCTCATGAGGTGGCCAAAGTATTGGAGCCTCACTGTCAGGATCTGTCCTTCCAGTGAGCACTCAGGGCTGATTTCCTTCAGAATGGATAGGTTTGATCTTCTTGCAGTCCATGGGACTCTCAAGAGTCTCCTCCAGCACCATAATTCAAAAGCATCAATTCTTCGGTGATCACCCTTTTTTATGGTCCAGCCCTCACTTCCATACATCACTACTGGGAAAACCATAGCTTTAACTATACGGACCTTTGTGACGTCTCTCCTTTTTAAGATGCTGTACTTCATGGATCACTGCCTTGCCGTGGCGAAGGGGCTTGAATAACTCAGAGAAGCTATGAGCTATGCCATGCAGGGCCACCCAAGATGGACAGGTCATAGTGGAGAGTTTTGACCAAACGTGATCCACCTGGAGCAGGAACCGGGAAGCCACTCCAGTATCCCTGCCAAGAAAACTCCATGGACAAATCATTCTTAGGCCATTCTTAACATGCAGAGCTTGCCCTCAAGGATCTTGGGAAGCGTAGTTTGTTAAGGACGCCAAGAATTAGACCCCTGACACCTCTAATCACCTGTAACAAACTACAGTTCCCAGGAGTCTTTGTGGTTAAAGGAGTACTTTAAACGTGTGGTGCGGATGTGACCTTTTGCTTTCTCATTACCCATACGGAAGAATGGAAGAACTGAGGGGAAGCAGAAATAAGATCCAAACAGGATCAAGCACCCAATGGCGTCATATGCAGCTGTGTGAATCGTTTTATGAAACGTCACCAACTTCCCTCATGAATGCATATGCCTCAGATTTTCAGCCAGCTGCTTCAAGTACTTCTTGATTTTACCCCAATCTTTTCTCTGTCTTTTCCTTCTGTTCTTTGCAATTAAGATTGAATTTTTGCTACAGTAGGCAGGTGGCCCAAACTAGTGGCTGTGTCATTTTTGTTTCTTTATGTGAATTTATATCCCTCATTCAAGGACCTCAGGGTGGAATATATGGTTGTCCTCCTCCCTGTTTTACCCTCACAACAACCCTGTGAGGTAGGTTAGGCTGAGAGGCAGTGACTGACCCAAGGTTCACCCAGGGAGCTTCATGGCTGAGTGGGGATTTGAACCCTGGTCTCCCAGGTCCTAGTCTGACAGTCTAACCACTACACCACATTGGCTCCCACTAGTAGTTGACTTCACTGCAGATGGTGACAGCAGTCACGAAATTAAAAGACGCCTGCTTCTTGGGAGAAAAGCAATGACAAACCTAGACAGCATCTTGAAAAGCAGAGACATCACCTTGCCGACAAAGGTCCATATAGTTAAAGCTATGGTTTTCCCAGTAGTGATGTATGAAAGTGAGAGCTGGACCATAAAGAAGGCTGATCGCCGAAGAATTGATGCTTTTGAATTGTGGTGCTGGAGGAGACTCTTGAGAGTCCCATGAACTGCAAGAAGATCAAACCATTCTGAAGGAAATCAGCCCTGGGTGCTCACTGGAA